GAACCCCCACCCATCCCCCACGCATGAGCACACACGGCTGAGCGGCATAAATACGACTGGGAATCCAGCAGTTGAACCAGTCTTAGTCGGAAAGCACGGGAGATCACTTCGCCCACTGCCTCATCGCCTCTGATAATGTCCACCGCAGTTGTGGACGAAACGTCGGGAAGAAATTCCGATAGACCACGGCTTCAAAGCCCGGAAAACATCCTAAATGTAATCTGACCGGCCGTGAAAGCCTTCATTGCAATTGCATTGTTGGTATGCAGGGTTTGCGGTTTAGTAACGCCGTGGAACTACCCCCTTATGATGTTGTCTTGGAAGATGGCCGCATGCCTGGCGGCCGGCAACACCGTGGTGATAAAGCCGGCCCAAGTTTCACCTCTAACAGCGCTTAAGTTTGCCGAGTTGTCTGCCAAAGCTGGAATACCGCCTGGAGTGATTAACGTTGTTCCTGGCAAAGGTTCAGTTGGGGCGATTGGGAAATTAATACAGTTGAAGGACTTTCTAATTACAGGATCTGAGGCTGGAAACGCGTTGGCCCACCATCCGCTAGTGAGGAAACTGGGATTCACAGGAAGTACCGAAGTGGGCCAGGTGATAATGAAAAGTTGCGCAGAGTCCAATTTGAAGAAAGTTTCGCTGGAATTGGGAGGCAAATCGCCGTTGATTATTTGCAGCGACTGCGACCTGGATAAGGCTGTGCGGCTGGTAACACAAAAGAGTTCCTGAGTCGAAATTTGTTCAGATTAACAACAGTTTTTCACTAGCCGTGGTCTATGGGAATATCTTCCTGACGTTTCGTCCACAACTGCGGGGGACATTTTCAAAGGCGATGAGGCAGTGGGCCAAGTGATCTCCCGTGCTTTCCGACTAAGACTGGTTCAACTGCTGGATGTGCTGTGCTCATGCGTGGGGGTTCAAACGCTTCGGCGCACGCGCTGTTTGGCGCAAAACGCGGTTTCAATCTGGATTGAGTGCTGTGATTTCTTCTTTTCTGTTAAAGTTGTTTTGGTGTTTAAATATTTCGATGGCCTCTCTGGTGAGTCTCGGGTAGT